TCTATCTTCATCTATTTAAATAAATGGCTGGTGCAGAAGACTATGACAGAGAATTTTTCATCATAAAAAGGCTATTTTCAACTCTTCCCTTTAATGCTCGTCAGTCAACATCATCCTATATCCAGGAAATTTTTTTCTCTTCCTTTGATCGAAAATGCCTTTTTTCATTGCTTTTGCATGTTAATTTTCTAAGCATACAGTATGTTCAAATGGGCTAAATATCTTTGTTATTATGCTGTGTAATTATGCACAGCCTCTGGCTCTTGACAAGTAATGCAAATATGTATTTTTTTTTAAATCACATGGCTAAGTCGTAAAATTAGTAATCCATGAATTCTTCATATGTAGGTCCATTTTATTATAATAATCACAAGTAATTAGTTTGGGTAGAAAAAAGTGCATTGCATAAAGAAGATTATTAAAAAGTGGTTAATACATATATTTTTAAAGTGAAAACAACTTAAGAATGCAGATTTATTACAAGGATTCTAGAGTTTCAATTTCATTACATCTCTATGGAATATCCTATATTTAAGCTGGTTTTGACCTCTGTACAAGGCAGTATGGTATAACACATAGAAATTAGGATTGCTATCAGAGGATGTGGATCATGGACCTGATTCTGCCAGTTCTAAGCTATGTGATTTTGGGGTGAGGCTTTTTCCTCATTTAACAATACAAGCTACCAATTTTTTAGATGCCCAAAATGGGCCAGAAACTTTCCTAAGTGCTTCATAGGCCTTATGTCATTCAATACTCATAGTTATGACAGTGTTGTCATCCCCATTCTATAGAAGAGGAAACTGAGGTTCAAGGTATTGTGCAATTTTCTCCAGGTCAGACATCTAGTGAATGACACTCAGAAGATGAATTCCATTTTACCCACCTTCAAGGTCTGTGGAGTTAACTACTGTGAAATACTGTTTCTAAAAAATTTATGAAATGAGGAAAATACATATCAGATGCTTGTTTCTCTTAGAATTTACAACACACGATATAATTGTTAGTTATTGTTGAGAATGCCAGTAAGTAGGTTCATATTTTTTACTTTGCAGATGAGGGGGACTTGAGGATGAATCGATAATGTATTCTTGTGTAACAAAACTTTCCAAAACGTAATAACTTAAATATAGCTATATTTAAATTTATCCCATGATTCCGTGGGTCAATGTATTTGGGCTAGGTTCAGCTGTACTGTTCTTCTGGACAGGTGAGTAAGAGCAAGGCAGTTCTACCTTTGGAGGTTAGCTGGCTGTCATCTGGGGGCAGCAATGAAAAGTTTGTTTTGGGAGGTACTTTATTTCATTTAGGTATAGTCCTCTATTATGTTCTCCAAGTTAATTACTGTTTTGCATTAAATGTGTCCCCCAGAGGTCCATACATTGGAAACTTGATCTAAAATGTAATAGTGTTCAGAGAGTTTGAGATCCTATTATGGTAATTGGCAGGTGGGCCTTTAGGAGGTGATTAGATGATAAGGATTGACCTGCATAAGTGGATTAATCCATGGGTGCCTTGATGTATGGTTATGGGCTTGGTTTTGATGGCTTTAAAAGGAAAGAAATTGAGGAGGTTAGCTCTCTTGCTCAGCCATTCACCATGTGACATCCTGTGCCTCTGTAGAGCCACCACAAAGAAGGCCCTCACCAGATATGCTCACTGAACAGTAGACTTTTCAGTTTCTGAGCTGTAAGAAATCAATTTCTTTTTCTTATAAATTATCCAATTATGGATATTCTATTAAAATCAACAGAAGTGGACTAACACAGTTTCTAGTAGTGCTGTTTCTCATTGTACTAAAGGTCTGTGTAAGTGTGCATGCATATGTGTGTGTATGTGTGCCTTGTACATAAGTCACTCATCATGATGCCAATAGCTAAGACTTTTTCCCAGGATAGGGTTCCAAGAAAGAGAGAGAAAAGACCAGAAGCATGCCAGACCTTTTGAAGTCTAGGCTTGAAACTGGTACACCATCATTTCTGCCCTATTCTATTGGCCAAAACAAGTTACAAAGCCAGCACAGATTCAAGTGCTAGAGAAACAAACTTAAGGGGAGAAGTTGCAGAGTCACGTTATAAAGGGACGAACCTGTAGGAAGCGATGGAAAATTATGGCCATTTTTAATGTATTGCAGAAGAATTTGTTTACAAATATATTACTTTTTGAGGGTGACTAATAATTTAAAATTCTTATATAAGACTTTAAAAGAGTTAATTGTCCAAATGTTAAACTTTTACAAGTATGTCATTCTGACAGTCACAATGTGGCTTCATGAGATCAGTCTACATTTCTGATGGTGATGTAGTGCTCAGTTTCTATAGCCTGTGATGCTGACTCAAGAATATAAAAGCAGCAGTATTTCAGCTGCTTCCCTACAAAAGGTAATGTCCATAAGGCCTTCTAAATCCTTGATCCACACAGGCCACAAAAGAAATCAAAATTGTTTTTTTTTGCTCGGTTTTACATCGCCATCTTCCAAAGCTTTGCTTTCTCTTCCTTTTATCTGACTTTTACATGAGGATCAGTGGAGTCAGCTGGCTGGAGCAGTTTTCTGTTCTTTCCTGTCTTATATAATGAGGCCTGTGTTATTTGTCTTAGGATCTTCTCCTCTTATATTGACCAGAAAAAAATAAATAAATAAAAGAGACCACATTATTTCATTCATTTGTTTGTGTATCATTTCTCCACAGACATTTCCATCTCATCCTTTTATCTTCCCACATTCTTATTTTCAAACTTATTTGACATATTTTCTAATTTCATATCCAATCCTTTATGAATCACAAGAAAAGTCTGAGTCGTTATAAAAGATGATCCTTCCGTCAATGTAATTACATCTAGATATTCGTAGCTTATAGGACCTTAGGCCCAAATAGATTCATTAGATCTTTGTTTTTTCATTTCTCTCCCCATGAGTCCTTTGCATCATTTTCTCCCATCCTTTGACTTTTCTATAGATTCTTCATAATACAACTTAATATTATGAAATGAAAACTTTCATTATTGACTCCTGGCATCTGTATTAGTTATGTTCTGACAATCTTGCAATTTAATGTGAATATTTCCTCTACTTAAATTAAAATGTGTAATTTATATATTACTCTTTATTTTGCACATAATGTGATCTCAAAAATGTTACCTATTATTATAAATGTTTCTGTTACTACTATTACTATTTTTAATTTATTTTAAAGCAAACCATATGCCCTTTTTTCCTACTGAACGTACAACAGTAAGCAGTATAGGAAACAATCTAGATAATAGGAGAATGCATGTTCAAATTTGAATATACCTTTTCTTTGTAATTTTTCTGGCAATTGAACTTTATTATCACTATTATTTTTAGAAATTCCTCAGTGATTAACAATTATGCAAAATTAAAATCATTCCCTCAGATTTCAAGCCTTACACTTTTATGTGTGTGTTAACAACTCAAATGCCATATAATTATTATTTACATTATCTTTACACATTTACTGCCATATTGTCAGTAATTTTCTTGTAAATGTATACATACCATATTTTCTTGCATTTCTTTCTGAGACATCAATGACCTTGCAAAGACCTTTTGGTTCTTCACTTTGTTAAATTATTTAATGTCATCAAAGTTGGATATTTTATTTAGTAAATTGTTTATATTTCACCACTCACTTGAAGTTCTTTACGTTGCTAAAACTTTCTTATTAATAACTCATAACTCTTGTTCTTTCCCAATCATAGCATCAGTATCAATACCTGTTTTTCAAAGATGCCTCATTCCACACTAACCCTGGTGTTTTTCCTACTCACTGGACTTCAGTACTAACAGTCTATGCCTGTGGAATAGAATATTTCTTCTTTCTTTCTTTTTTTCTCTCTCTTTATTCCATCCTTTCTTTTTTCACTTTTTAAAATCTTTTTTAGACTGTACACATAGACACGGACAAGCACTCTATTTGGTGGTTAGGCCTGTTACAGGCTGAGTTGTGCTCCACTCCTCCCCCCTCAAAAAGTTGTTGGAGTTGTAACATCTAGGACATCTAGGACCCTATTTGGAGATAGGCACACTCTATTTGGTGGTTAGGCCTGTTACAGGCTGAGTTGTGCTCCACTCCTCACCCCTCAAAAAGTTGTTGGAGTTGTAACATCTAGGACATCTAGGACCCTATTTGGAGATAGGGTCATTACAGGGGCAATCAAGTTAAAATGAGGTTATTACAGTGGGCCCTAATGTGATACAATTGATGTCCTTATAAAAAGGGGAAAGTTGGACAGAGGCAGACATGCAGAGAAAAATAATCCAAAGAGACACGGGAGAAGATGGCCATCTACAAGCCAAGGAGAAAGGCCTGGAACAGATTCTTTCTACACAGCCCTTAGAAGGACTCAACCCTGACAACACCTTAGTTTAGGATTTCTAGCCTCCAACACTGTGAGCCAATAATTTCTACTGTTTAAGCCACCCAGTTTGTGATACTTTGTTATGGCAGCCCTAGAAAACTAATACGAGATCCAATAAAAACTTGGGAGAGGAAGAAATTGGCTTATTAAAAAATTACCTTGGTATTTGGGTGTCTGTAGCTCATCTCTTTCAGCTCCTGACAGGAAAAAAAAAAAAAAAAAAAACATACCCGGAGTTACACTTTCTAGAGTATTGTGTTCCTGGAATAAACTTTTAAAACTTGTTTTGCTTTATATAATCATGTTGTGGTAGCTGGAGACCTACATTTGTCTGAAAAGAGCAAGCCAGAGCCATGTAGAAGACACGAGAAACAAGATTCACTGTCACCTGTAAGTAGCCCTCTCTCTCCAGTCAGCTGTCAGTAAGACAAAAATGCAATTGGTCTTAGATATTCTCTCTCACTTGTTGGGAGGGGTGGGACATCGGGAGAGAAAGGGTGTGGAGAATGAGGTGTAAATAAGACAGGCAGAAGCTCCAGAGAGGGTGGGGACAAAGCTTTACGGAAGAAAAATATATGAACCTGGTTGGTACAACACAGCTTCCCCAGAGCCACCCACCCACCCTTTCCGGAGCTCTGTGCTTCGGCTGGCGGCCGGAGGTTGACGGCGAGTGGTGCTGAAGGGACAGCTCCAGCAGCGGCTGCTTTGTGGGGAGAAACAAAATCTGCAGATCGAAATGGGAGCAGGGGGTCTTCACCTTCAAGTGGGTGAGCTCTCCTAACCTCTGGCCAGCCTCTGCTCCAACCACGGCCAGCCGATCTGTCCGCTCCCTGCGGGGTCGGGCAGCGCCAGCTGGACCAGCCCCGAGCTCCATGGTTTGCCCAGCCCTGCGCGATGGTGACTCTGGGCGAGGAGGTTGGCGCCCGGCGACCCCACGTATCTCAGAATGAAGGTAGGGAGCGCGGCCAGCGGCCGGCAGGGTCTGTCTCCGAGACCCCAGCTCCAAGAGGCGGCCCAGCCACCTGAACCCGGAAAACGCCAACAAGTAGTTTCTCATCGGAGGAGGGCGGCTCAGCGGGGCGCCAAGACCCAGTCCAGCTGCCTGGAGAACCTCGTTCACTCGGAAAGCAAAGCAGAACCACTTTTCTCTCTGTCTCCTTAAGGTATCTGGAGTGGGGGGAAGTGGGGGTGTAAAGGGGTGATTTTCTGAGAAGGGCATGCTGACCCTGCGGGCAGACATCCCTCCCACCCCCTGCGCCTTTCCGGAATAGGAATGTAGAGATGAAGCCCTGAAAAGAGGTAGCTGGGAGGCTGGAAATGGGGACACTGTCATCTAGACTTCCAGCTCAGGGACCCAAGGGGTGTGCCTCCAGCAGCTTTTCTCTGGGACTCGCTCCTCCTAGAAAGCAACCCCCCCCATCCTCCACCCCCAAAGCATTTGTTTTTCTTGGGAAGGGGGATGGGTGGGAGGTATTGATCCCTTCTATTCTCAAAAATGAATCCTAGTTAGTCGTTCCCTCTCCCAAGTAAGAATAATATTAACAACAACAATAATAATACCGTGAAAGGAAAATATTTTGCTGTGACTTCTGCGTTTAGTCGTGTTGCTTGGTTCCTGCGGGAGCGTCGAGGTGAACCCAGAATAGGTCGTGCAAAGGGCACTCCCTGAGTGCTAAGGAGCAGCGAGAGCAGTTCACGGTGAACCGAGGGTGCGAGTGCAATCGGGGCTCTCCGCTGGGTCCTGGGGGCTCTCACCCAACACTGCCAAGTTGCCTTAGCAAAGAGAACTCCCTGCCTAAGGGAATTGCATCCAGGCTGTGGGAGGGGAAGAGAGGGGGTCTAGGAGAGTAGAAGGGAGGAAACAAACAGGGGAGGAGGAGAGTAAGGGAGAGGGAAAGAGGGCTTAGGAGGAAGAGACTGGAATTTGGGGAGGGAGAGGGGGGTTAGGGACTGGGAACAGGTTAGACTTGAGAGAGGACAGAGGGGAGGGACGGTTGAGAGAGAAAGGATGAAGGAGGAGAGGTTAGAGCCAAGGCAGGAGGGTGTGAGGCTGGGAAAAAGGTGTCTTGTAAGGTCAAAGACTTGCGCCGTCTCTCCTTAGTTCTTTGGAAACCTAAGACAGGTGTGATGCAAGAGACGGGGACAGGGCTGCACGCCAATATCCTTCTGGGAGGATCCTCTGCTCTCAGAGGATCCTATCTGCCAACCCTGAATCTTGGGACTTTGGGGCTGGAGTGGGGGTGGGGGTCATGGTGTGTCCCTGACAGCTGAGCTCTTTAACTTGGTGCTGTGCTCGCCTCCCCCTCCCAGTCATGTCTGAGCCACAGAGATGGGCAAGATCGAGAACAACGAGAGGGTGATCCTCAATGTTGGGGGCACCAGGCACGAAACCTACCGCAGCACCCTCAAGACTCTGCCTGGAACGCGCCTGGCCCTTCTCGCCGCCTCGGAGCCCCAGGGCGACTGCTTGACATCGGCGGGCGACAAGCTGCAGCCGTCGCCCCCTCCACTGTCGCCGCCGCCGCGACCGCCCCCTTTGTCCCCCGGCCCGGGAGGTTGCTTCGAAGGCGGCGCGGGTAACTGCAGTTCCCGCGGCGGCGGCGGCAGCGAGTTCTTCTTCGACCGGCACCCGGGCGTCTTCGCCTACGTGCTCAACTACTACCGCACCGGCAAGCTGCACTGCCCCGCCGACGTGTGCGGGCCGCTCTTCGAGGAGGAGCTGGCCTTCTGGGGCATCGACGAGACCGACGTGGAGCCGTGCTGCTGGATGACCTACCGGCAGCACCGCGACGCCGAAGAGGCGCTTGACATCTTCGAGACTCCCGACCTCATCGGCGGCGACCCTGGCGACGACGAGGACCTGGCGGCCAAGAGGCTGGGCATCGAGGACACGGCGGGGCTAGCGGGGTCCGACGGCAAGTCTGGCCGCTGGAGGAGGCTGCAGCCCCGCATGTGGGCCCTCTTCGAAGACCCCTACTCCTCCAGAGCCGCCAGGGTAAGGCCAGCATCGACCCTTCCCTGCTGCTCCAACTTCTCCAAACTTCCTCCCTAACTTTCTGTTCTTTTCCACCGAGGGGTTCTGGGACTGGGGGCAAGGGGGAAAGAGAGCAGGGGCTTCCTAGCGATGCGGTTTGGGGCTTATCTGGTGCAGGGTAAACCCAGGGACCTTGGCCCCAGTTCTCCCACCCACCCCATCATCCCTTCCTCTCATCTCAACTCAAACTGAGATTTGCTTTAGCAGATGGGACCTAAAGGGCCAATGTCGACTTCTCTGTGCAAGTCTGTCTGGGACCTGTCCTGAAACCGGTATCACTCTTTAGCTTGAATTTTTTTCCTTTACTCTTTTGTTCCAACTTTTACTTTAGCTCAGATGTCTCTTCAGGTTTTCTGGTCATACCGATTAGACGTTTTCTGTAAAGTCTGACCCTCCTTTACATCTTACTCACCCAGAGCAGAGGCTCCAATTAGGGATCTAAGCTGAGGATAGAGGAAGGGGAAATGGAATATTTGCATGTGGCTGGACAGAGGGAATGTGTGCCAGGAGGTTCATTTTGTGATGAGAATCTGGGGAATGCTGTTTGGGCCAATCTCTTTCTAAGGGAGAAAAATATTAGGAATTGCTTATTCCAATGAGTTGACCAGAGAGTCTGCCTGCACACTGAATCTTTCAGCCTGGTACATTTACTCTTGGGCTGTATCTATGTTCCTTTTAGGCTAAATAAACGTGAATTAATCACTTCAGTGACCCTAGTTTTGGTGATCCCACTTCTCTAATTCTGAGTAATTTAGATTATGGCAAACTTTATTTTGATTTTTATATGATCCCATCCTGAATTTTTCTTCTTGATTTCTAACTTGTGATAGCTTAAATTTTGTCCTTGTTACTCCCAATTAATTCTTTGAAATCCCATGAAGCGACTATAAAAGTAATAAATAACGGTGTCTCCAGTTTAAAGGAAACAAAAGAAACATAAATAACTAAAAATTACATACTATGTGAATGGTTTTTAATTATATGTGAGAACAGAGTACTGTATTTAGTTAAATCTTTGCAACTGTGTGTATCTGGTTTGCTTCTGAAACCCAGAAAAGACACCCCCTGAGTAGAATGGGAATTCTCCCAGCTTTACTTTGGCACTATCCTCATATTGTCTTCCTCTGCATGTCAGAAGTCTCTGCATCCGAGATATTATGCAGCTGTCTATGTACTCACTTGTCATAAGATGTGCATATGATACCACTTTGGAAGTCTGCAGATGTGTTTTGTTTTTAGTGTCAAACAGAATATGAAAGAGACAACTTAAATCATTGCTACTCCCTAGGGTCTGGTATTTAAATGCATACATAAATTCCAGCATGTCCACATTCACATACTTAAACATAGAATTAACAATTTCAGCTCTGAAATCTTTCTTTTAAGACCATTCTAAAATTCAACAGCAAGAGTTGGCATTCAGAAAGAAATAAGTGCATGTTTATTTAAATTCAATTACAGGCTCATGACCATTACATCTGTGATTTTTGGTTTCCAGCTGAGTGCCATGGTGCTCTTTCCACTTGGTGGCTAAAAAGATAATCTGAACTTGTTTTCAGACTCAACCTGTGATTTTTTTCCCTCTAGATTGTGTACTTTTATAAAAAAAATCATAATGTTTAGTTATCTTTCCCCATGATAACATAATACATTTTAATGTAGGCCAGATTGCACAGCAAAATCTTTAAGAAGGTGTTCAATTTTTATCATTGCTATGAAAGTCAACTCTATTGATTATTGGTCAAAAGGGTAGACAATTGACGTCAAAATAGTTCTTTTTTAAAAAGAAATCTTACTAAGATTTCATTGTAATAATATTGAGGATTTGACCTGTGTACATTTTAAGTAAGGAAAGAATACCGATAGATTAAAGATTAACACAGGTCAAAGAGTAAGTAGAAAGAGAATCACCTAAGAATCATACATCTGAGAAATTTCTTGCAGGTCACCTAGCCAAAACCCTTTACTTTGTAGATGAGGAAAAGGAAGACTGCGATGCTAAGTGATGGCCAAGGTCATACACTGAGTTAATAGCAGAGTCAAAATTATTCTAGAGGTCTCATGACACCCTCTCCAGGACCTTTCTACCAAAACCACCAATTATAACTGTCTGGACTGTGAAATCTCTGCAGATTGTGTTGCTTCTGAGATTTAGTGCATCATAAGACATTCACTAGAATTTAAACTTTGGAAGATCCTCTATGAGTCTTTTTAATATATGTATTCCACGACTTTGGCTGCTAGAACTTTTTTTTTTCCTTGTACCACCAACAATAGAATACAAATATGAGATTTGTATTAGCTTCTTAAAATAAGCCCTGTTTGAACTTCCCATTTTTATTGACCAGTGTTTAATATTTTGCTTTTCTTTTGTGGGCCTTGTTGTCAGAGAAATCCCTTTTCAGAGTATTAGCGTTGCCTAAAAAAGAGTATTCAGAAGTCATCAATTTATTTAAAAATGATTTAGTATTTTTATAGGAACACTTTTAGTTCAGATGATGGCCTAACAATGTTATCTTACCACTTTGACAAGCAAAATTACATTGGGAGGCCACAGGATAAAATTATATTTTACATGGACATGATTCTAAGAAACAAATTATCAAGTGGTTTACTTTAGCTGTGGTCTTACTGCTACAAGGCTTATTTTTAATAAAAATAAGGTATTGATATTTTTATAAATACGCCTACTTTCTTTTTTACATAAGTTAAGTTTTTATTGAAAAACTTGAGATGAACAATTTTAACTTGATTTCTTTTTGGATTTGTTATACATGTTTCATCATTTCTTATTTTTAATAAAAATAAGGTATTGATATTTTTATAAATACGCCTACTTTCTTTTTTACATAAGTTAAGTTTTTATTGAAATACTTGAGATGAACAATTTTAACTTGATTTCTTTTTGGATTTGTTATACATGTTTCATCATTTTCTTTAGTCTTTCCTGATATTGAAAAGTTTGGCTCAATTATATAATAGATGTGTTATATTTCTAACTTTTATCATCTAAACTGGAAGACTAAAACAACAGTGATGGGAACTGGATAATTAACTGACTTTTGCAGCACTAAATTTTTGTCTTTTGTTTTGCTTGGCATATCTCCTTCCTCCATGGCTTTTAATTTACAATGTAAATACAGAGTTGAGAGCTACAAATTGTTCTAGTTAATTTGGTAAATAAATTTATATGTTGTACTAAGAATTTTTATCCTTAAAAACAGTATTCAAAAATGGAAATTTATAAAAATTTAAATATAAGTTGTCATGGAAACCTGTTGTGAAGAAAATTAGATCAGGAAAGAAAGGGGAGATTATTTTTTTGATGCCAGTGAGTGATATTTACAAACAGTAAAAAGCAGGGATGCATAGATGTATTTCTGAAAATGTTATGCATTGTATATTTCCAGTTTAATGTTGAAGTTTTAGAAGAAAATGAAGCTTGCATGTTTTTTTCTGAAGTCTTTATACCATAAGTAAGTAGATGGGCACCAGGCAGAAATTCCTTGATAGAACTTCTAGATTGTTTAGAAGTTTAAAAATAACAGTATAAGAACAAAATATTAAAGTAAAGAGTATTTTAAGTATTTGTTTTCAATGTGAAAGAGCTGAGACCAGTTATAAGTTCTCTGTCTCTTTGCACTTATATTTTTATGGAGGTGGGGAGGTGACTGAATTCAGGTCTGTTTCAAAGTGTGACTCTTCCTTGGTAATTTATTCATATCATTGATTACTGATAGACCTTTTGTTTTTTCCTTTCAAAAAGCATTTTAGAAAAGAAAAAAAAAAAAAAAAGACTGCCAGAGAAACATAGTTAAGATGTTGACTTTTTGGTGTGGGTCCAGATCATTTCACATATGTTCTACTGACCTTTATCTAGTATACCATTATTGTGTACTGTACAATCATCCTGAATCATACATGAGTTGTGGTAACAGATCTATCATTTTTTAATTCTTGAAATATGCACATGGTTAACATTTTAGATTGCTTTATTTTTACAACATTACTAAAATATACTTACAAAAAGCTATTAAAATTTGAATTTCTAGAATTGAATTCAAATTTGCAAATACTGTATTTCATCTGCTTTTTATGGGCCACTTTTTTCTCCTTCCTGAACCACAAAACAAATCAGGAAAACCATGATCTAAATAACTATTTGGTAGTATTGAATGTAACATTTAATTAAAAAAATTATTAAGGTGGGGACAATTTGAGTCATATTTTATATTAAAATTAAAGGAAGCAAATGTATTGATTCTTATTTTGTAAGTATTTCTCCAATGAAAATAATTAATGGGAAAATATAGTTTGTTCATAAAATATTATTTGCAATTATTAAAATTTTTAGAAAGATTATTCAATGGATATTGATTATGCAGTCACTTTAGATCAAAAAATATTCAAGGTACTGGATGCATGAAAAAAATTAGTCCTTTGCCCTTAATAAGCTCACTACTCTAATTATAATAAAACATTTTCTAAAAGAATTATTATTAAATTAAAAACTTCAACAAAAGAATAGCAAACAAAATTTTAGAAATATTAAAGATAAGTTTTCCTCAAAAGACCTCATAAAGGAATATCGCATGACACATGCAGTAGAATATTCCTTTTAGAAATGATGGTGTTAGGTATTATTTTTCTTTATTTTATTACTAAAGTATTAGGCTCTTTTAATTTTGATTTTTCTGTTTTCAAAATGATTCTTAGGCTCTCCTTACAATATAATGAAGGCTGTACTTATAGCAAACTATTGAACTATTTGGGGGTGTGGCCAAGTTTCCTTATTCTTTCCATATTAATTGCAAGTCATGGCTGACCATATGGTAATGCAAATCCAAGCTTCAAATCCCTGAAAAAATTCTGCCATAATAGTTTGGTGTGTTTGCATTCGCCAAATAAGCATCTAAGTATTGTTTGACCTTTTCCAGGCCACTAATTGTACAGTTCACAAA